TTTACCACGGCCTTTCCCCCGAAAAATATCTCATCATATTGATCATCTGAGAGCTTCTGGAGGAAAGCCGAGATGCCTCGTCCATTCAACCTACGGCGACCCCGTTTGCCTTTACCTTTTCCTTTGAAGCTCCCCCGCATCCTCCTCCTAACACGACGCACTGGCTTCCGGGTGAACCTCCTCCACCTCCGCTTTGCCTGTTGTAATAACCAGAATAGGTGTTCGGCACGTTGATTGCCACCTTCCATTTGCATGATATTTGACCAGTCTGAGGGTACAATACCATCTGATGATATGGTGTCGGTGTCGGTGCCAGTCGAAATCGTCATTTCCTAGGTAGGTGGGTACACCGTCGTTTAGGGGATTCGCTTCCCCCCCATAGGGAGCGGTGTGGTTGAGGTTCTCTGGGGGGAGGGCCGGTTGCCCAGCTTGGTTGTGATCGATCCCCTGTGAGTAGAGCAGTAGACTCTCCAGGATCGTCGGCCCATATGCTTGCGGGCCCATTGCCAGGCTGAGCTTCGGTGGCTAAGGTAGTATAAAAAATTCCACTACCAGTTCCCGTTCCCCTCCCAAACACTGATCCTACGTTGCCAGGAGACCGTTCTGACAAATGGCCTATCGAACGCATCCTCTCACACAACTCATCATATTGTTGTTGTGATCGGGGCGTTTGGTGGTTAAGTGGTTGCCAGAGTTGCATGGCTCTTTGGTTGCCGACGCCTAGGGCGCGGAATAGGATAGTAGTGAGCAGTTGGAAGTTGGGAAGGTCAAGCCCCACCGACTGTGCCTCGAGACGGGCCATCTCAAATCGAGTGAGAGTTGCATCGATTCGCTCTCCGTGAGGCACGTGAAAGTCGATGAGCTGTGTGCCTGAAGTGAGCTGGCGCTCATCTTCCAGGCGTTCGAACTTCATGCTTAAGAGGAACATGATGTAGGTTACTGGGTCGGTGTGGACACCGTCGATGTCCGCACCGTAGTTTATAATGTCAGGTGGTACCCTCATGGCGAGTGTCCTCGCTAGGCCGCCCAGGCCGCGTTGTATGGCGGCTGCTTGAGCCTGTGGCGTCATGCGCCCGCTTGTGACGTTGAGCCACGCGTTGACTTCATAAACGTACTCGCGGAAAAGGTACGTTCCCTTGAGGGTCCCAGTATGGGCCATGTGTTTGCCCATCGGTGCTGTTGTCTCCTCGGCGCATGTGTCCGATTGTTGCCCCCAGCGCAAACCATATGATGGCGAAAATAACCAACCCAAGGCTGTGAAGATATGGGTGGTTATCAGGCGCGTTGCCGCGCTGGGGTAGCGCCTTGTTGAGTCTTCGAGGCGCTTTGTCTTGCGGGTCTCCCCGCCTTTGCTTCAAGTGCTGCGCTTTTGGCTCGTCGCCGAGCGGTTGGTAGTAGCGTAGTGATGAAGCGTATATGGTACCAATGTTGTTGTCTAGACGTCGTACCTATCGTGTTGCTTCCTGCTCTTGAATTGATCCCCGTAAATGTAGTTGGAGTGGTGGCGCAGGGTGGTAGTTGGTTGCGAAAATCGTGCCGGAAAGCGTGAGGATAAGAAGAGCAAGAGCTGACCACACGAGAGTGCGGCCAGCTCCGCTATCAAGTCTGAAGTGACTATGGTAAGTCAAATGGCATCCGATTCCATGGGAAGCGGATGGCAGATAGCGTCCAATGCCATGCTGGGGTAGTTCAGTATGGGGAGTGGACGGATAAGATTGGATAATATCGATGTAATGATCTTTCCAGCACATAGCGAACACCAGCAGCGTCCGGGCAAATAGGGCGCGCGTGCCTTGAGCCGAAGGCAACGGCGCGCGAGCTATACTCCCGATCCTATATAACATCTCCCAAAGAGCTACCCTTAAAGTATCCATGTCTGCGATCGCCTGATCCACGGGCGCTCGACCAACAAACGGACAGCTGTTTTATGTTTCGCGAGAGCGGCCATCAGCGGCCCCAGCCGTTCTCCCCCCCCCTCCCCCAGGCAACGCACGCTTCGTGCGGACGTCCGAGCTGTCTTTGATTATTTCTGGACATTTTCGGACACCGCCGTCGTGAATCGTGACGTCACCTGCCTCGCCCCCCCCCCCTTCCCCCTGGTGACGCCTGCTGTCGCCCAAGAATGCAAAACTGCTCTGAACAGTCTTCGTCTGAACGCGACTTCCCGAGACGTCCGCCGACATGTTTTCAACGCGCAGCCACTCGGGTCCCGACCCCTTCCGACCGGGACCACTTTTTGACACCGTATTCAAATTGAATTGCCCTGGGGCCCGACAACGGGTCCTAGACTTGGAAAATCTGATGTTCCCGACGGACGAAAATGTTCCACCAAACGACGGAGACCGTCCCGAAACCATCGAAGAGAACTCCAGGCATCCTTCCGAGGACGCTTTTCTGAGGGGCTTGGGAGAGTTTTGGTCGCTTCGGAGGAAAACTAGTCCCGAGCGAACCCTGAGCTTGCTAACCGCAGAGGCTGGCATCACCTCGTCGGATATCAGGGTCTCCAACGACGCACGCACGCAAAACAAATCGTGAGGGACAGCGATCGGGGGGGGGCTGGCTCACAGGCGGCGAACGTCGACTTGAAATCAGCCATACATCGCCGATAGATCAGCGATAGGCCCGCGATAGCGAGTCCGCACGTTCCTGGGCGGGGTGGGGCTATCAGATCCCTATGGGGCGATGAATGGGCGATTGGGGGTCGATGCGCCCCCCGAGCAGCCTATCCAGCGAGGGGCGCAAGTGGTGGGGGGAGGCAGAGGGGGATGTGGGCGACTGGCGAGCGGGAGGACGGGGGGGGGAGGGGGAGATGAGGGGGAGATTGAAGAGGCCCAGGGACACACATATAAATACACACAAATCCCAGGATTCCAAATATGTTCATATATTTTCTAGATGTTCGTGTTCCCCCCCACTTCCCATATTTTCCCAAATTTTCCTGAGAGTCGACGATTAAGTGTGTCTCTGTTTTATCCCCTCCTGAGAGATGAGGGGGAGATGAGGGGCAGAGGGGGAGAGGGGAGCAGGGATGGAAGCAAGGCAGGATCAACCAGCATCGAATTGGAAAATCGCATCGGGTCGTAACGTGCGTTGGATCGGGGCGCATCGGCAAAGGGTCGGGATCGGATCAGATCGGCTGCGCCAAGATTCGCAACACCGCCGTGCAAACATCAGGCGGCATCGAATAGTCGGAATATTGGGAACATCGGATGGAATTAACCTTGTGCCGATGATAATAAAGTACCCCTCCCCCCCTTAACACGCTAGAGTTGATTATCCACGGCCATTAAGAGTTCGGTGAGGGGCGCTGGGCGCGGAGGCCGAACTGTTTTATCACTGTGAAAAGTTCACCATCGAGGTTAGCTTCCTTCTTATGTTGAGATAGCAAGATCAAGCGAAGCGAAAACGTTTCGAGGATGTCTCAAGCGAAGACGTTTTCGAGGATGTCCTCTCACTTTCTCTCTTTACCTCTCTCTCTCTCTAACTCTGTCTCTCTTTGTCATTCCCTTTCTCCCACTGGCCCCTGAACTTTTTATCGCTGTGGTTCACTATCCATGGAAACCTAGGCACATGAGCTACCCTACACGAGCAGATGAAAATCTCAATTTCCATTGTTTGTTTACAAATTGAATGTCATAGGTTTGGAACTTTGGATTTTTTCCTCCTCCTCTTCCTCCTCCTCTTCCTCCTCCTCCCTTCTCCTCCTCCTCCTTCTCCTCCTCCTCCTCCTCTTCCTCCTCCTCCCTCCTTCTCCTCCTCCTCCTCATCCTCCTCCTCCTCCTCCTCCTCCTCTCTCTGTCTGTGTCTACTTCTCTCACTCTCTCTCTCTCTCACTTCTCTACTTTCGGGGAGGCGTAAGACCCGGGTACGGGGGACTCGGAAATCCCCGACGAGGTCGTCAAAAAAATGACGAGGCCGAGCCTGCATTTTGACGAGGCCTCCCGCTGCAGACATCCCACGAAACTCCTCCTCGTCAAAATCCGTGGCGCGGTCGTCAAAAAACGATGGCGAACCCGAGTCCCGGCAAACCCGGGTCTTACGCTCCCCCGATACTTCTCTTACTCTCTCTCTCTCACGCTCTACCTCTCTCTGTCTACCTCTATCTCCCTCTCTCTCTACCTCTCTTCGGACTTCGCTTCTCGATCCTCGATCCTCGGCTTTCGGTCCTCTTAACATCACCTCTTTCTCCTCCCACATGCTGGCCTCCGGTAGGCAACATTTATAATCTCCCCACGACCCCGAACTTTATTATCCCTGTGGGATTACTATACGGCGCACACGGTTAATCGGCCGGAATCGATATCGAACGAGATCAATCGGCTAGGAGTGTGCCTTGCAGGGAAGGGGGAAGAGGAAAGGGGGGGAGACAGGAGGGGAAAGGGAGAAAAAGAAGGGGAGGGAAAGAGAACGGGGTGGGGGAGGGAAATTAAATAAAACGACAGAGGACGAGACTCGGAGCAGGGCTAGTTGAGACAAGGGCAACTCGAAATCGGTCTATGACACCTCTCTTGGGATCCAAGCGCAATATTTTTTCGAACTGGGTCCAGTCGTGGCGACGATGGCCCCCCCGAAGGCAAACTAGTTACCGTTGTCTGCGCTCGCCCTCCTCTGTAGAGACCAGAAGTACCATCCTCCACCTGAGCACCCCGACAAGCAACGCCGTCTGGTAAGCGCACCCAAAGAAGGAATCGAACAGGGCAGGCCTGTTTAGTAAACGCCGAAGGCCGTCTTTTTTTATTCAAACAAAAACGCCCACCATGGTTACGTCGGGCATGTCCTCCTGCAGGCGGATGTTGGACGAAATACTGAAAATACTCAAAGACAAGTCAAGAATAGTCAAACATCGTCCCAAGACTATGCTTGACTATGTTTGAATCCTCCTCCTGTAGAGGGACAGGCCCGACTTGACCCTATGGGGGTCGGGGTGGCTCTCCTCCCGGGGCTCTGAGGAGGGCGCGCCGCGCGCCCGGGAAGAGCCGAAGCCGCGACCCCCGCACCTTTCAGACACGCTGGCGCGCCCGTGCTGCCCCAGGCCGGGCACCACGCTCGCCCGCTCACTCCTCGTCGTTGTCCTGCAGGGCCCGGCCGGCATTGGATCACCGAACCGGCTCGGATCGGAAAAAGGCGACAAATAACGAGAAGAACACACTGATAATCATGCTCACGTTAGGAAGCAAGAGGGGAAGAAACGCGTCTGTGAGCGCCAGGGGCGGTGCCAGTAAGGCCAGCGCGGGCAGGCCAGAGCCCTAAGGGATCGTAGTCGAAGTCCACGTGGGAAGGCCAGGGAAGAGAAAGCGTAAGAGTAAGTGTTCGTGGTCCAGCCTCGGTGTCCGAGAGGTCTCGTCACATTTTTCAGACAGTGTGCATGTTGTGATACACAACAGAGACAGGAAGTCGAACGCTAGATGAAGGATGCTAGCTTGATCGGAGCATCGGTGGAATAAATATCTGAGTAAGATGCACGGTCCGAAGTCCGAGCGGATCTCTCGGCTCTCGAAGAAGACAAAACACATAGCATAAACTTTCGGAGCTCCGCGTGAATTTCTTGAACCGGCGCTGGACCCCTCTCCCTGGCTCGCGGAGCGCGTCAAGGGCTGCTCCAAAGGCGCCGCCACGGGGGCCCAGCGCCGACTCAAGAAAGCCGCGCGGAGCTCAGAAAGTTTATGGTTATGCATGTTTGTTCTTCTTCGAGGTTCGGCGCTGGGACCCCACGGTCCTCCTTGGCGCGCGGAGCGCACAGAGGGGTTCGGCCCCGGAGGCGGCGATCTATAATCGATGAACAGACGCCAGCGCACGCTGATGCACTCGGTCGGGGGCGCACAAACATGGATTAGCGATCCATGGATTTGGCGCGCGGTCACCGAATCCATGGATCGGGGGAGGTCCCCCCCAATATGCGTCCGGCGCCGCCTCGCTCGGCGGCGGAAATCCGCGATTTCCCATAGAAACGGGACCCGTCGCGAATCCACGCGCCCTTGATCCCTGTCTGCGATCGCCTGAACTGTAGAGGCGAAACTGCGAGGACATACAGAGCGACCATGAGTTGCTGCCGAACCATCATGTCTTTTCCTTTCCGAGCCCGGGGGGCCTCGCCTTGCCCCCCTGGAGCCCTCGGAGCCCGCCCCGTCGCCTCGCCTGCTTCCAGCGTCCACGAGGAGGATGTGCGCTCGTTTCGTGGCGACCTCGGCGGTGTGTTTTCGAGGGGGCCCCATGCGAACCCTCCCCCTACCCCCCACGATTTCTGAGGGGGAGGGTGGGGCAGGACTCGCATGTGGCCCCCTGGTTTCTGAAACCACGTGGGCCGTTCAAGCTTGAGCGACTGCGGCTTTCCGACAGGTCGCCCGACATCGGCAAGCTCTGGTTTGGCAGCGCTCAGCCTTCCACTCCCGCGGTGTGTGCCTCAGAGTGGGGTCCTCGCTCGCGAACTCCCCGAGGCCCTTCGGACAAATACCGGCCTCACAGATGGGGGGGCGATCCTTTTTCAGAAAGGAGATATCGCTGGACGCTTCGTTGATCCTACTCCTCTTCGCATCCCTCCTCCTCGTCCTCTTCTTCCCCCTCCTTTTCCTAATTCTCCTCCTCCTCCTCCTCTTTTTCTTCTTCTTCTTCTTCCTCCTCCTCCTCCTCCTCCTCCTCCTCCCTCCCCCTCCTCCCCCCTCCTCCTCGCTGGACACTCGTTGGAGCGATGCGATGCAGCTCCCTGTCAGAATGGAGGAGTGAGGAGAAGGAGGAGTGATGAGTGAGGAGGAGGAGGGAGGAGGGTGAGGAGGAGGAGGAGGAGGAGGAGGAGGACGGGTCGCCAGGAAGAGAGAGCGTACTGCAGCATCGGAGATGGATCTTTGGTTTGATCTGGTCCTCTTTTCCTACGCCTCCCTCTCACACTGGGAGTGACCCCTCGCCATGTCGAATGTCCCCGCTGCCCGCGTCCTCGTTGATGTTGAAGTAGCGGAGCTCGTAGGCGGTCTTGTTGGGAGCCACGACGCGCAAGAAGTCGCGAAGCTGCTGCATCTTCAAGTACTTCCTGGGAGCCCCTCCCTCACGAAGAGGGGGGAGGCTGGCGAAGGCGTGGATGGGGATGATGATAGAAGCGACAGATCCGCAGACGGCCAGCTCGCACTTTCTGCCTGCTACGCTGGCCCACCAACCTGACTGCGTGCGGCATAGGGTGAGCCGGCTGTGATTGGCGGCGCGCACGGGGGGGGGGATGGAGGATGGCGAGGAAGATGAGGATTTGTGCACGCCTCAATGGAAAGGCGCTGGCTGCGCTGACGCGGTGGTCACGCGTCGGCGGCGTGCCCGAACGCTCGCGCGCAGGTCTCCCCAGCGGGGGCCCTCCCTGCTCAACAGCTGCCCCCCGCCCCCCCCCCGCAGGACGCAGACGGCCGCAGAGAACGCGGAGCCCATCATGCGCGCGAGGTGGCCTTCCATCAATTGGGCGCGCACGTCCAGGCGATTCAGGAAGCGCCGCCTGGATTCGGTCGACCCCCTCCCCGCCCCCAGGGTCAGGAACCGCACCGAGGCACCGTCGAAGGACGCCCGCAGAGCCAGCACGCACAGTGCGCCTAGCGGCAAAGAGGACGCCGTGAATTGGAGACGGTCGGTCATGCATGGCACCCAACCTGTCCGTCGTGATTAAAGGGAACGAAAGCCGCACTGCGCAAATGCATTACAGCTGCAAGCAACAGCTGTCCCCCGGCTCCCCTCGACTCGCCCCTTAATGCGTGACCCCAGGCAGGAGAGACATTCGGTGCGCAGCCTGCTGATTGCTGCCTGCGGTGCGGATGCTTCGGCTTGGCCCCCCACACCCCCTCACAGCCGCGCGCCCAAAAGCCGCTTTGGTGATAGGCCACTATGTCGTACAACCGATCCTCAGAAGCACGGTGTGACGGCAACCTGCAGAGACCTGCGTGTAAGACTGCCCCCCGCCCAAGGACGGAATGTCGCACCGTGCGCTGGGACGTCGCTGCCAACGGTCATTGCAACCGCAAGCCACAGCTGTCCCATCGCTGATCAGCAGCACAACGAAAAAGCTACCTGCAGCGACCTGCGTATAAATGAAGAAGCCCCCAGCCAGCGCTGGGACCTCGCACTGCTGATCGACATTGAAGCCGCGAGCCCTCGCTGCCCCATCGCTCCTCAGCATTACGGTGCGAAGGCCGTCTGCAGCTGCCTGCGTGTAAGGCAGGCCCCCCCGTCCAGCGCCGGGAGCCCGCACTGCCTGTCGACATTGCAGCACCAGACGACGGCCGCCCCGTCGCTTCACAGCAGCACGGTGTGCCCGAAGCCTGCAACGACCTGCATGCAAGTCAGGCCTCCATCGAACGCGGAGATCTCGCACTGCCCACGTCCATTCCCGCGGCAAGCGACGGCTGTCCCGTCGCTCTTCAGCAGCGCAGTGTGAAAACCACCCACGGCCACCATCCTGTAGTCGGGCGGCGTGCGGGTCGATCGCCGAGGCGTTCGCGTTCGGGCAACGGCTACGGACGGAGAGGGAGGCGAAGACGTGGGGAGAAGCCCCCGGAAATCGTGCACTTTTTGGTGGGGGCAACGTTCCGCATGCCTGATCATAGACTATATCCGCCATCGTGTCGCGACGCACTGGATGGATCACATCTTCAGTCCTCGAAACATCCCCAACATTGAATACTGTGATGTCCTGGACCGGGGAACTCCTGAGCACTCCCAGGCGTGAAGGCTCATGCGAGCACTCAACATTGAAAAACTGGCCTGCATCCAGGTAGCACACCCGTTGTATCCCACCCGTTGTCTCCCATTGTTTATCCCTATCCGTATCCATATCCGTACCCCAATCCTTATCCCTATCCCTATCCCTATCCTTCTGCCTCTATCCCTATCCCGATTGTCCCTATCCCTATCCTGCATCCCTGCACATGTCCCTATCCGCATCCCCATTGCTATCCCTACCCCTTTCTGCCTATTTCTCTCTCTCTATATATATATATAAATGTATATATATATACATATATATATATATATGCTAGAACCATCGCGCACGCTTCGCGCGCACTCAGGTTCTAGCAGGCCCCAGACCTTGACGAATTCATTGCTCCACTGAAGTAGTGGACCACAGTCCACGCATGCTAATCTGCATTTCGAAAGGCCTTCGAGGAAAATGGTTGTGTAGGGGGGCGGGGAGCCGTATGAATCGGGTTCCCAGAAGGCCTTCTGGGAGCATGGATTTGGGGGCGTCTTGGGGAGCCTGTTGGGGCGTGCCGTCGTCGTCGTCGTCGTCGTCGTCGTCGTCGTCGTAATGTCGTCGTCGCCTACTGGGGCGCGCCGTCGTCGTCGTCGTCGTCGTCGTCGTCGTCGTCGTCGTCGTCGTCGTCGTCGTCGTCGTCGTCGTCGTCGTCGTCGTCGTTTCGTGTCGTCGTCGTTTCGTGTCGTCGTCGTCGTCGTTTCGTCGTCGTCGTCGTCGGTTCAAGAGGGCACTTGGGGCAACTTTGTGCGAAACAATCTGCGGAGGGCCGCGAGAAGGCGATCAATCATGTTCCCAATCAACTTCCCAGACAGCTCTCCTGTAGCATGATGGTACTTCGAAGTTTCCGGAGACTCGCGGGCCCATGATGAACCATGTCCAAGGAAGGCTTCTCGATAGGAGACTGATAGCCCATCCCGCCGAGGAACGTGCGGATTCGCTATCGGGGGCTTATCGCCGATCTATTGGCAACGCACCGCCGACTCCAGCTCGATGTTTCCCCCCTGCAGAGCCTATCCCCCCCCCTAACGTTGCCCCTGATATCGCTTCGATGTTCGATGCCCGCCGAGGCGGAATACCCGGGGCTCTCGAGAATGCAGGGGACTGGCGGCCGGGGCAAGCAAAGGCTGGCGGGCGAGGCGAGCGGGAGACTCGAACCACTCTGGACTGCTGGGACCTGGCGGCCGCATTCTACTCGGGGGCGTCCAAGGAGGGGGCGTCCAACAGGGGGGGTCGCACATCATGGCCCGAGGCACGTGCGCGCCCCATGAAGGGGGGAGACAAAGGGACGTATTGAGATAAGAAGGGCCATGGAAGCTGAGCCCCCTATGTAATCAGTACCCCCCTTTGGCCGGCACAAGGCTGGTGGGCGAAACGGGATGCCCGGGAGCATCGGGACCACTGGGGTCTGGCGGGCGCGCTTCTTCTTCACGTCTCAGCAACTCCGACCTGTCGGGTAAAGACACTGAACACAAATCCGGTTCTTCCCCAAATGCGGGCGACATGACAAACGCTCCCCAGCGAACCATGGTGCACACGTGCAGGACCCGCCAGTCCGTGGCTCAAAAAGGGCCAGCGGGCGTGGCCATCCCCTGCTGCTGCTGCTCCTCCTGCTCCTGGAGGGGCAGGAGGATTGATGCGGGGAGGAGAAGGGGGAGGAAGAGGAGAGGGGCAGCCCCTCGTCCTCCTTCTCCGCCTACTCCTCCTCTCATCCTCCCTCCTCCCTCCTCCCCCCACCCCCCCTCTTGGACAGGTACTTCAGGTACCTCTTGGAGAACGGGGCCTGCCACGGGGCGAGGGCCCTCCCCCCACTCAGAAATCGCGGGAGTCATCGCGGACACCGGACACCAGCGCCAGGCCTGGCGCCGATGTGCACTGCAGCGGCGCGTCGCGCATGCCAAGAGTAACCCTTGGGACCTGACGCGTTCCGCCTTCCGTCGAGCCGAGAGGCTGTCAGCAGACCAGGGCGGGTGTGGCAGATGGCCGAGCCTCGACGTCCTTCCTCTCTTGCTGATGCTGCGGCCTTTGCTTGTGTTGTTTCTTTGTTTTGTTTTCTCTCTCTCTCTCTCTCTGTCCCTGTACTTAGATCTACGTATTAAAACGACCGAGAACTATTATTTCATAAGTTTGAAACCAGGACCCCAATGCCCGACAGGCCAGCCACGGTGTCAGATCATCTGATGATGTAGTTCTTACTCTTACGGAGAAGCACAACCTGAGTGCAGTTATCCAAACAGCGCGATTAGAGCCAAGGTGGCTCCAAATACATGTCGCGCGTCATCGGCGTCCTCCTGCTCCTGATCGGCTTGCACTGTCATCGTCATCGATGCTGTCGTCGTCGTTAATGTCGTCGTCCAAACGACCCCTTGCCCTTCCCCCTCCCACTCCATCTCTTCTTTCGTACATAATATCCTATCTCTTTCCGTTATTCCTCCTCCTCCTCCTCGTCCACCTCCTCCTCCTCCTCCTCCTCCAACTCGTAGTTTTGCCTCATCCGCCTCTCCACTTCCCCATCATCCTCACCCGTCTCGTGCCACTCGTACTCCTCTTCCCCTTGGCTCTCCTCACCCCTCGCCGTCCTGATTCTCCTCAATACCCTCCTACTTCTCAATCTCTCTAGAGACATCAACATGTACTCAGATATGGCGCTCCCGCCTGAGATTTCCTTGCAAATGACTGCTCTCGCCTCGGCGCCAACTACTTACCTGCTCCCTCTTGCCAGAGGCGCACCTGCCACTCCCCGGGTACATGTTGATCCCTCAAGCGTGCCCAGATTCGTCCCCTGGTCATGTCCTCGCCTCCCTCCTCCCCCCTCTCTCTCATTCTCCCTCCTCCTTCCCCGGTCATTCTCTTTCCTCCACCGCCCCTCCTCCCTGATCTCCCTTCCTCCCTTTTAACTCCTCGCTTCGCTCTGGCTCACGCCGTCCTCACAATGTACTCAGGCTCGGCGACCCGTCTGAGACTTCCTTACGAACGCCTGAGACTTTTGATTAACTAGACATGGCCCAGGGATCTTGCTCTCGCCTCGTCCCTGGGTAATTTTTCCCTCGGGCCAAGGGCGTTTTGAGCCCCTGCTGGAACACAACACCAAGAACAGAAACGGAATCGAAAGGGTCGCCTGGGCCAGGCCTCGTCAGCATCCTCCCTTCTCCCTCTCCGAACCCGGAATTGCAAGATTTCCAAGGAGAAACGGGCTAGACCACCTCGCGCGCGGCGTCTGAGAAATGAGAGAAAATAAGGATGTCTCACGCGAAACGGGCCAGACCACTTCCCGTGCGGCACTTCGGAGCCCCAAATTGCGAAGATGTCTCAGGCGTACAGGGCCAGACCACCTCTCAACGGGCCGCACCACGTCAATCCTGGCCATCGCTCAGAATTGTGAGGATGTCTCAACCGAAACGGGCCAGACATCTCTCGCGCGGCATCTCGGAGCCCAGGCTTGCGAGGACGTCGCAGGCGAAACGGGCCAGAACACCTCAATGCTGTCCATCTCGGATCTCGAAACTATCATACTGTCTCAGGCACAACGGGCCGGAACATAGCCAAAAGAAACTGTAAAGAAGTCTCTGGCAAAATGGCCACCTCTCGCGAGGCATCTCGGAACCCAGGCTTGCGACGATGTCGCAGGCGAAAGGAGAAGACCACCTCAATGCTGTCCATCTCGGATCTCGAAACTATCATACTGTCTCAGGCACAACGGGCCGGAGCATAGCCAAAGAAACTGTGAAGAGAACTCCGGCGAAACGGGCCGGGTCACCTCTCGCGCGGCATCTCGGAACCCAAGCTTGCGAGGATGTCGCAGGCGAGACGGGTCAGACCACCTCAATGCTGTCCATCTCGAAACCCAGAACTGTGAGGATATATTACGCGACATGGGCCAGACCACCTCTGGCACGGCATCTCGGAACCCCAAATCCCGAAGACGTCTCAAGCGAAATTGGCTGGACAACCGCGCACGACGAATGTCGGGACCAAGAAATGTGAGTATGCCTCAAGCGAAACGGGCAAGATCACCACGCAAGCGGCATCTTGGACAGCAGAATTGTGAGGATGTCCCACGCGGAACAAGCCATGACATCTCTGGCGCGGCACCTCGGAACCCAGAATTTCAAAAACTTCTTGCGTGAAATGGGCAAATGCCGGGCATCTCGGAAAGCAGATGTGTGAGGATGTCTCAGGCAAAACGGCGCAGACCACCTCATAATCTTCAGGCATGTGCGCGAGCCCTTTCGGGTGGAACTTGGTATTACCAGAAGGGGACTCCAGCCAGCACAGCGATGTGAACAAATCTACATATGTGCCACCTGAGATCTTTGGGCGTCGACCATTCTTTCACGCGCGAACGATCGAACAAGCAGTTCTGCTTAGAGACCCATTCGGCTCGAACTTACATACAGCACCCAACATCTTTAATATACCAACGCAGAAGTACCCGTAGCAACGGGTATACACATACAGCATGGCAGAGTTAGAGCTCAAAGGCCGATGAACGAGACTAGAAAATACAATAGACGGATCGACACGTTCTCCGACCTTGTACTGCGCCGGACGCGTTGTCTATAGACGGATCCACACAGAATGTGTCAATATACGTAATGACACCCACTGTGTCTATGGACGCTTGTGGCTGGAACTTGAAAGCGGTATTTGGCAGATGGGAGCAGGTCGACCTTGCCCTCCAATGGGGGCTGACCTGTGCAGCCCTCGCCAGGAGGCAAAACCAATTGATTTCTCAGTGAAACTGACATTGTCGCTCTGGGCGAGGCCTCGCGGATTGCGCAAGTAGGTCGTGCTCAAACACCAGGCCCTCCTCCACAGCTGCCACGTCCGCGCTCCTCCCCCTTCTCCCCGCTCGGATCGGACGACCGGAGGGGGGAGTAACGGGAGGGTTCGAGAATCAGCTCACGCAGCTGGCTTTCCCAGCGCCTCCTGGCACCGGAGGCGCTCACGCTTCGAGGGGAGCGCTCGTCGGTGGGGCCGAAACCATCTTGCGCGCAGCTGGTTTCGCACGACACCCCTTTCCCACCCAACCCCCTTGGCTCCTCCTCTTCCTCCTCCTCCGCCTCCTCCTCCTCCTCCTCCTCTATCTCTCTCTGTCTCTCTTTCTTTTTCTCTCTCTCTCTCTCTCTTTCTCTCTTTCTTTCTCTCTGTCTCTCTCTCTCTCTCTGTCTGTCTCTCTCTCTCTTTTCCCTGTCCGCGCCGTGGCGCGCAACGGACGGAGGCGCAGGGGCCCATGTTTTCGATTCCGCAGGAAGACAGGAGGTAGGGAGGGGGCCAATAGACCATCCTAAAAGCTGACGGTCCCGAGGCTCATGAGGATAAAATGGGGGAAAGAGTAGGCAAGTCGTGTCACACGCCTCGTCCGTGCCACTTGCGACGTAGTACTTGTATGTAGACGTATCATTGCTGGTGCCGCTGGGGGCGATGTACTGTGCGACGGCAAACTGTGGTACGGCATATGTCGAGACAGAAAAAAGAGAAGTAGGTACGACGCTCAAACACCAGTCGCATGCGGAGTGTGGTACTCCAGGAAGAGCGCTGACCACGCGCACGCGTCTGCGGCCCCTTCATGGTCTGTGTAGACACACGCTTGTTGTACGGATAATCTGGCGAATCTAAGCCCATGGCGTTTTGATAGTCTGCAGCAGTCTGGGCACCATTTTGATCCAGTAACTCGATCAAGTGTTTCGATCCACACGTCAACGTACGTTGGTGGCGAAGCGTCTGGTCATCTGTTAGCTCCTAAGTTCTGTTGTTCATGGAATAGACATTTATCTGCGTGTACTCGTGTCGAGTTCGATCATGATCTGGGAACCCTGGTCCGTAGATCTTGGCGACGGTAGCTTGCTTGAGGTGGCCGATGATTCGTGTAACGTAGAAGTGTCCAAGGTGATGTAGTCCTCATTATGGAGGTCCCAAGGCATGAAGGAGAAGCGTGCCGCTGATTCCCGAGGGCGTCTTTCCACACTCGTGTGATTGCGCAACGCCATCACATGTCCGTCGCGTAGCGGTAACGGAATTCCTTGCCCGTTGTGGAGTGCCCCGGCCCTGTTGTCGATCGCGACCTCCCTGGTAATATCTGCGCACTTGGCGTTGTAGATGTCGATGCGTTTGTTGCACAAGCCCTCGAAGTAGTGCTTCAGCGAGGACTTGACATCTACGACCCCAGAGTAGGTATTGCAATCCGCGCCGTATGTAACTATGCGGACAACTTGAATACGCCTGTTGCCATAGTAGCGCAGGTCGCATGGCCAGATACCTTCCTGGGCAAACGTTTTTTGTTGAATGTTGACACCATCATCGGACCCATCGAATTGAAATTGTGAATGAGGGCGGTCATTGCGTGAAAACCTGAATGTTTAGCCAGTTGCTCGAGCCGGTAACTTCATGGACTGCTGATGTGGTCATGTACTGTTGATGTGGTCATGTGGTCATGTAGTGCCACAGTGCTATAACGATGTACTTGATGCACCTGATGTGGTCATGTCCTGCAGTCAAGTAGTGGGTATTGGAGGTAGACTGGCGGGCTGGCGGGTTAGCAAGTCAGACTGTAAGTAGTGCGCAGAATGAGGTCCCCGTGTTCTCGCTGTAATCCTGTGGTGTCTCAGTCAGTGTAGGCAGTATCCCACCAGTAGACCCATGGGCATCACATGGTAAACACGTGCGCGCACGAGGGGAAGAACGGCAGGAGCCAGCTGGAGCGGAGCCTACCTGTTGCTCGGGCGCGCGCGCCTCTTCGTATCCTCCTCCTCCTCCTCCTGCTCTTCCTGCTCTTCGTCCTCGTCCTCCTCCTCCTCCTCCTCCTCCTCCTCCTTTTCCCCACCCTCTCCCCGCGCGCGCTCCCGCGCGAGCGGGAGAGACATATGAAGGAGGGGGTGAAGGAGGATGAGAGGAGGAGCGAGATTGGGGACCATTTCTAAAGGGGCCCCAGGACACACAAATAAATACACACAAATAAAAATATCCCCCATATTTCCCCATATTTTTTGGGTTTCTGTCTTCCCGCCCAATTCCCATATTTTCCCATATTTTCTGGGGAATCGAGGATTAATTGTGTCTGTGTGTTTTTTCCCCTCCTGAATTTCCTTGTGCGGACAAACAGCGGTCTGGAATGAGATCTACCACCGTCGGGAACGGCTGTCCCCAGGCGGCTAGAAAGTTCGCACCCCGATGTGCCGCCGCAAGGCTATGAGTTTCCCAACCGCTCTGGGACATGCGCCCCGAATGGCGAAGCAACTGATTGAATAACTCCGACGGAACAACTGCAGAAAAATAACCTTTCGGAGCTCCACGCGGATGTCTTGGATCGGCGCTGCCCCCCCCCCCCCCGCCTGGCAAGCGCCGCCAGGGGGGGGTCCAGTGCCGATCCCAGAAACCCGCTCGGAGTCCCGATCGTTTGTGTATGTATGCGACTTCTCTTCTTCGGATCTGCACTTTCGCCCGTCGAGTCCAGATCCCTCCCGCGATACAGGAAGCGCCTCGGCCGTGATGTGGATCTTCGCCTTGTCCCGCGAGACGGTGACCTCCGCGCCGCGCCGCCCAGGCTCCCACGTGCCCCCCCTTCTCTGAGGGCTGGGCGTGCCCCTCATGAATCGATCGGAGGCGGGGGGAGGGTCTGGCTTTCGCCACGCGCTCGACAGATTCGGAACCCTACCCCCGCCGCCCATCGAATTGAATCGTGAACCGGCAAGGGTTAGACTCGGATTTCGCCGCCGAGCTTACGCGCGACCTCACCCGGGCAGCCTGCAGCGTGCGCGCGAATGTCGGCGCAACCGACCCCGAGTTCTGCCCTTGCTTGAATGCCTTCGGCCTTTCAGCCCGCGCGGAGCACCCCTCCGCCCCAGCCGCCCCCGCCCCCCAAAGACTCCACTCCACCTGGCGCGCAGGGCATGGGCGCACAAGCTCGCTGAAGAGGCCCGAAGCCTGGTCTTGGGGCCGCGTCCCCGCGCCTGCCCCGTGGACGTCCTGGGGCTGTCCCCATCTTGCCCCGCGATCCTTGCGGCGCTGTCCTGCGAACGCTCTGTTGGATGGGCGCGCCCGAAGCTGGTACAGAAAAATGAAAACGATTCCCCGCAGTACAAGTGCGGTCCAATAGCGACCCCGGCCGCTGCTCGGCAGGCGACAGCTTGACCCAAGTCAACAGGCGGCCGCGCCGGCACAGACAGCGAGTCCTGCTCAAACTGGGCAAAGAATGTAATTGGTCGTCGCCGTCTTTCCGTCCAACTTTCGAACGTGCTGATTGGAACGAGCAAACTCGGGCACCGGATCGCGCCGCATCGCCGAAGCCCCGGAGGAATCGCCAACTACCCTGGCTATGTATGGCGAGCCTGGATATGCACGGTTGTCCCACGGTTTCGGTCGTCCACCTACTGGCATATAGATGTCCTGCCCTTGTGGCATGAGTGTCACGTGGTCAACTCCGAATGGCTTTCCTGGACGACCAGGAGATGGATAAGCTGTCCATCTCCGATACATGTATATAAGAAGAAGAAAGAGGCCGAAAGGTAAGTCAATGTCCCTGGATGCGTGGCTGACTTGGAATTCCGCGATGCGGATTATTGTTGTTGTCGTCGTCGCTGTTGCTGCTGTTATTGTTCTTGTTGTTGTCGTTGTCGTTGTCGTTGTTGATGTTGTTGGTGGTGTTGACCTCTAACTGTTGAATTATAACTATTGTTGATCCCCCCTCTGGTGCACATTGTATTTTTCAATTGAAATGCCCCTCCTGGCGCTCGCACCTGTTTTGAATCAAAGAAAGTCTTCCTGCTCAAACTGTGCCCCTGGCCCCCGTTTACAACAACAACGGTTCCCGCGTGATACTTCCTTGAAATGTACTCCGGTCCCGCGTTCCCGCTTGAGACTTCCTTGCAATTTACTCAAGAATCGCGCTCCCGCCTGAGACTTCCTTGCAATTTGCTCAGGCGCCGCGCTCTTGCCATTCAGGAACCGCGCGTTCGCTTGGGACTTCCTCAAATTCACTTAGGAATCGGTATCTCGCTGGAAACTCCCTGGCGAATCAAGCAAGATTCACGCAGAAATAGATACCCACCAAAAATGCTATGAAGGAAGACGAAGAGGGCGGGTATCGAGGGTTCAGGACATGCATGCTGAATGACGCCACTACCTGTTGGAACGCCTCCCCCCCCCCTCACCGCCAGCTTACGACTCCCTACCACCGTCCGCACCACAGCACCCACTGTTGTTCCCACCACCACTGTCCTCACCACCACTGTCCCCGTTGGTTCCACCACCGTCCCTACTGTCCCCACCAGAGCCCCCACCGCTGTCGCACTGTCCCCACTGTCCCCACCACTGTTCCCACCACGGCCCCACTCTCCCCACTTTCTCCACGGCCCCAACCACTGCCCGACGATCCCCACTGTGCCCACTGTCCCACTGACTCCTCCGCTGTCCCACTGAGCTGCCCCACTGTTCCCACCACTGTCCCCACTGCACCTCTGTCCCATTGTCCCACCGCCGTCCTCGCCACCGCCTTCACCGCAGTCCCCACCACCACTGTACCCTCCATTGTCCCATTGTTTCCACCGCATTCACCACTGTCCCCACCACAACCGTCCCCACCACTGTCCCACTGTCCCCACTGTTCCCGCCATTGTCCTCACCTCTGTCCCCACCACTACAGTCCCCACCACTGTCCCACTGTCCCCACCACTGTCCCGCTGTCCCCTCACCTCTGTCCACCACCGTCCCCGCCACTGTCCGCACCCCTCCGCGGTTTTCGAGGGGGGGCGGGGGGGGGGGTCGAACCGGTAATGACCCCCCCCCCCGGTTTTCGAGGGGGGGGGGGGTCGAAGCGGTAGTGACCCCCCCCTCCTTTTTCATGATGTACTGGGGGGAGGGGGGGAGGGGTTCGAACCGGTAGTGACCCCCCCGGTTTTCCGGAGGGAGGGGTTCGCACCGGTAGTGACCCCCCCGGTTTTCCGACAGCAGCGGTAGAACACGCTCTTTCAAATATACAAACATAGATCTGAACTCTCACACGCACCTATCCGAAGGAGATAAGCTCAGAGGTGGTAAATTGAAGCCGTACTTTCTTCTGGCCGTTTCGCCCGGGACATGGAAACTTGATGCACCCTTCACGCAGGTAGCGACGTCACGGTCCAGAAACTCATCTGAATTTTTACACGTTACCCCAAAACCTTCGAAACACGTGATGTTCAATGAGTTTGAACTTCGCGCATAGAGCAACATCGGCTTCGCATGAGACATCCCCCCAATGGAAACCTGTGTATTCAGAGTTGTCCTCATATTCTTCAAAACGGTAGTTTCGGTCGAGACAGCCTCCAACAATTAGCTTCGGAGCTTCTTTCACCTGCAATCGCAAGGTGCGGAACATCCTCCTGCGCCGACACATCGCAAGGTGCGGCAATCCAACCTGCCCTCGACTGCGAGCCCTCTGTTGCACCTCCTTCCCAACAGTCCCCTGGTGATCCTCAATGTCCTCCTTTTCTCCTTGTTTCCCTGCTTCTCAATCTTCTTCATCCTTCTCCGCGCATCCGACTCCATATGCCTCTGTTGATTCATTGTGTGCGATGCTTGCGTGCTGCAATTTTGTTTGTATGAGCCTGGGCACGCACGTGTATATGTATCCGCCACCGTGCCCCTGCGGCACGGTATGGAGTTCCTCAGATCCCTAGTCTAATCCCTCAAGCCTCAGTCCTCGAACCTGAGGATTCTTAAGGGGCACCGGCCCCAAATTCTGAAATCTCCCGCGGTTTCCCGCGTTCAACGTGGGGCTTCTCGAGGCTTGTCGCATCACCTGTCGGGGCCAATCGTGCCCCGAAACGGGCCGAGACGGTCCGGAGAGGCGAGGCCCCCAAGACGGTCCAAGAAGGCCCCGAGTCGCCGAACAATATGTCCAAGACGCCCACGATGGCCTCCAGTCGGCCGAGGAAGTGCCCAGGAGGTCCCAGGAGGCCTCCGAGAGCCTTGTCAAGAGCGCCCCTGAGGCCAAGTTATAAAGATCCCTGTAAACATGCGAGATTGGAGATTGATCATATGTTTAAGGATGTCCACGGCGCTGTCGTCTCAAGACGCCTGGCCATTTCAACCCGCCCGGCCTTTTCAACCCGCCTGGGCCTTTGACCCTGCCTGACCGTTTCACAAGAATGTCTGGCTTCAAACCGCATGGTCATTACGATCGCGTGACTGTTTTCATCGGCTTCGTAATTTTTCCACGCCTGGAAGCGCTGACATCCTTGGCCGTTCTAACCCGCCAGGTCGTTTTAACCCGCCTGGCCGTCGAAACCCGCCTGGCCGTTTTTCGCCGCCAGGGCATGTTGACTCGCCCGGCCGTTTCCAATCGCTTGGCCGCTTCAAATCGTCCGGCCGCTTTAATTCACCTGGCCAATTGAACCCGCCTGGCCGTTTTAGCCCGCCTGGCCGTTTTCAACCCGCCTGGCTGTTTTAACCCGCCTGGCCGGTTTCACCCGCCCGGCCGTTCTAACCCGCCAGTCGCTCATATCCGCTTGTCCGTGTTAAACCGCCTGGTTTTTTTAACCCGCCTTGCCATTCCAACCGCCTGTCTGGCTTGGCCGTTTTAGCCCGCCTGGTCGTTTTAACCCACCTGGCCGTTGGAACTGGCCTGGCCGTTTTAACCCGTCTGGCCGTTTGAAACCGTCTGTCCATTGCAACCCGCCCAACATTTTAACCCGCCTGGTCGTTTTAACCCGCCTTGCCGTCTTAACCCGCCTGGCCAGCCTCACGGGCCGTATTGGAGCAATTCCACGACGACCTCGACAACATCTCATTGCGTGAGGATCTCCCTAGCGAAGTCGCCATATGGGGCAAGAGCGATACCAAGACGATGTCGGCAACATCTTGTTGTTTGAACCTGCCCTTATCAAAATAGAAGCTTGACCAAGACTGAGACCAAGAGCACGTCGACGACATCTCCTTGGTGTGAGGACGCTCGAGCGAAATCGCTATTCTGGCCAAGACCGAGACCAAGACGACGCCGACGACATCTCATTATTGTGCGAGGGTACTCCTAGCGAAATTGCAAGTCTGGGGAAGAGCGATGTCGACATCCTAGCAACATCATCATTTTTCGGGCGGAGTTGAAGCGTCTTAGAGCCATCCTTTTGAGTTCTGATGGGCCCTCTTGAGGCCTTCATGAGGTGATCCCGAGAGGACAATGTTTGAAGACTTCAATAACGCAAACCCTGGGGCTAGAGATGCCAACCCACCAAACTCCCCCTAATGCCATTTTTTCCGACTGGCGGATCGCAAACCATGCGCGGCTTCCGTCATACCCACATCCACCGCCTGCCGAGTCCCAGGATATCGATCCCCCAGGCGGTCATTATGGATAAATCCCAGCCTCGGACCCGTGTCCTTTACGGTAGGAGCCAGCGCACTGGATTCCGATCGGATCGCAGCGCTGCCGTGGCAGCTGCAGTGTCGCAGGCCAGAACGAGGGCCGAAGCCAGACGGAGAGGCAGGTCAATGGGACTCTGCGTCCTCTCTGCCGGGAGCTGAAGCTCCAGACATCAGGTGCGGTGCTTGTCTCACATGCGCGGCCGCGAAGGCCCCGACCCCTCCGCCAGGTTTCTGTCTCGCCCTGGATCCATTCTGGATGGCCCCGGGGCCTCATAGTGGGCCCCAGAAGCCAAGACTGAACAGCATCAGATCGCCCAAGATCTGGGGCCGCGTCTGGGCTTAGGTCGGGCGTGTCCCCCTACAGACGGATTTTAGGCGAAAAATGAAACATACACAAACCAGATTCAAAACATGCTCAAAAATACTCAAAAAATCGACCCCATACTATTTGCTACTATGTTTGAACATTCCTTCTGTAGAGGGACGCGCCCGACTCAAGAGTATGCATTGTCCTTCTTCGAGGGGGCAAGCGCCGCCGCGCGGCCTTCTCCCCCAGATTGCCCGTCTTCCCGTCCACCTTGATCCTGTTGTTGAGGAACTTCTCGAGATCCTCGGCGCCCGAGGCCGAGGAGCAGGAGGAGGGAGAGGAGGACGAGGAGGCGAATGAGGAGGAGAAAAAGGAGGAGGAAAAACAGGAGGAGGAGGAGAGGCTCGCACGAAGCAGCAACAGCATCTGCAAGCCCCGTCGAGCGCCCAGCGTGTCCCATCTCAGGCGCGGGCACGGGCCTGATGACAAGCAGGACACTGCAAACATGACACTACTGGTGGTGTCAGAACTGGCACTACTGGTGGTGCATATCTGCAACCCGGTATTATATACGTATACGCGGTGACTGACTCGTCGAAACAAGTTCCCTTGAGCATAAGCTGTCTAGCAAGCCTGGCACTCTCAGTATAGCATCCTACACTTCTACATGAGTTCATGGTCGTCATCTGAGCCATGGTGTGATGTGGCGGTGTAAGCGCATGGGCGGGCTCCGTAAGGACATCCTCACGAGACAGAGGTCTCTTTGGCCGCTGCCCTTGTCTCCCCTTTTGCGAATCCCACCAGCTCTCAAACCATGTGTTCCAACGCAGTGATATTGTTCAGTGAGTCAGCTCTTTCGAAGCACACCCTTCTTCTCCTTCGGGGTGCAGTGCATAAAATAAGCTGATGATAATAAATGGCTTATGCCTGCTCGCGTATTCAGGTTACGATGGGCCTCTCGCGCCACAGGACTGCCACGAGATGACTGCCATGAGATGCCCCCAAAGGGGCCTTAGAGGAGGCCAGACGGGCGCAAAGAGCGCTAGGCCCCTGACAGCACCCACAAAAAAATAAATCCCGCAACATTGACCAACGCGCTACCCCTGTTCCTGTTTTTTCCATCCTCCCGCTCTTGCTCACCTTACCTCTCATGTTCCCCTCGTCCTCCCTCTCATCTCCATATCCTCCCTCTCATCTTCCTACTCATGCTTCCCCGCTCCTCGGCCCGATGGCGAGGGCCAAGGGCCAACGAGACAGCCGCCCTCGCTGGCCCGTCCTTGGTCTCGATGATGTTGTCGTCGGCGGGCTGCTGGCAATCCACTGTGTACTTGAGCACCTGGTGCCGCCTCCTCCGATTGCTGCTGCTGCAGCTGCCGATCCTGCCGCCTCCAGCTCCTGCTTCTGCTGTTGCGGCTCCGCCGGCTCCTCTACCCCTGCCTCCTCTCGAGAAGCGTCAGCTGATTGCCTCGCCGAGCCTTGCTGGGCCGGCCCTGAGCCCAGGATCGGTGTCGACGCCACCCTGGCCAAGCCAGGAGACGTATTCATACGTGTACACCGATCCTGGGCCCAGGATGGGCCTGGCCAGGATTGGTGGTGTGACCAGCTGACTTGACCAGGTCATTGATGTCATTACCTTCCCCCTCCTCCGCCCGCGGCTGGTGCTCCTGACGCCGCAGAGCTAGTGGATGGAAGCCGAGCACCTGCACACAAGTCCATCTCCTGCCTCAGACCCTCCCTTCGTCCTGCTCTGACTGCTGCGTTCCTTTCTGGCAGAGCGGGAGGGAAGATGACCCAGGCGATGTACATGTATGTATGCATGCATGCTTTCATGGCAGTGGGTATGTATGTAAGTAAGGAAGTACGTATGCATGCACGTATGTATGTATGTATGTAGACATGCATGCATGCATACACACATGATGTATGTATGTGTGTATGTATGTATGCATACATGCATACATGTATGTATGTGTGTATGTATGTTTGTATGTATATATGTATGTATGTGTGTATGTATGTATGTATGTATGTATGTACGTATGTATGTATGTGTGTGTTTGTATGTATGTATGTATGTATGTATGCATGTATGTATGTATGCACGGATGGTTGTATGCATGTATGTATGTATGTATGCATGCATGCATGCATGTATATATGTGTATGTATGTATGTATGTATGTATGTATGTATGCATGCATGCATACATGTATGTATGTATATATGGGTGTATGCATGCCTGCATGCCTGCATGTGTGTATGGGTGTATGTATGTGTGTATGGATGCGTGTACGTATACATGTATTTCTTCGTGCATGTATGTATGTATGCATGTATAACTGTTTGCACGCAGGTTTGTATGTATGCATGTATGCATGTAGGTATGTACCTTTACATGCATCGATGTGTGTATATGTGTCCCCCTCCGACTGGAGCCACGGAAACCCGCAACGCTTGCGGCCGAGGCGCTCTGCTGTCCTCTCCGCGAGACCCAGCGCGCGCAGCGCCACTGCTGCCACGTCTGCTGCCGCCACCCGTTCCTCTTCGAGCGGGGGGGTATGGCGACCCCAGGCCCCGACCCTGAGGGCATCAAGGAACATTCGACGACCTCCCCAAGACTGCCCTGGAGGCGTCAAGATGGCCCAGAAGCGGACCCAGAGGCTCGCAATACAGTAGGGGCCCGACCACAAGAAACCTTCCACAAGAAACCCAACCCTGAGACCCCAGGACGTTGATTGCTTTGTGGTGTGGGAACGTCACGCTTTCCATCGCAAAACCATCGAGACCCGAGAAACCATTTCACCCTAGAGGCAAGCAGGATGTGTCTTGGCATGGATCTCAATCGAGCCTCTCCAAAGAAGCTCCGCGGAACTTACGCGCCGAAGACGGCCCTGGGGTCCCCTGACGGCCAACAAGTTGAAGCGAAAGGCGGAGATATACGATTCGGGAGGTGTCCCAACTCGATGGGGTGTGTCCGCGCAGCCCACCGGGGATGCATCCCTTTGGGCGGGCCGACAGCGTGGCTTGCGCGCGACCTTGCGCGGGAAGCTGACGCGCGAATGTCCGCGCAATCGACCCCACTTTCTTTTGTCACTCATTTGTTGCCAACGGCCGCCTATTTGTCGGGCGAACTCGGAGTGAGGGCGACAAATCGCCCGCGAAAGAACAGCCCCCTCGCACCCCCAAGCCTGGCTCAGGGGGGGGGGGAACAAACTATACCTGGAATCGACGATGCATCGCCAAGAGGGCAGGTTGCGGGACCCAGGCCCGACCGGCGAGGAATGAGCGATTGGGGGTCGATGGTTGCAGTCAAATCGCGCAATCAAAATACACGGGCCTTTGAGGGCCATGTAAGCGCTTTCGAACGGGATTGGCACGCGAAGTCGCCACGGAGGGGCCGAAGGGGCAAGGACGCAAGGGTAGCCTTGGAAAATTGCTCATTCGTGCTACAGTTCCCCCCTGGGCCTGCCATACCATGCCGGCCCCTGATTTTCGAACACAAACACCCGCCCTCGAAATCCCAAACTTACCAGAAAGCCCTGGAACCATGGTCCTCGACCCTAATTCAATGGTTGTTCCGTTCGAAATACCTCGAGGCCGTGCTTGCGGCACATGTAAGGAACCGAACTTTATACACCGATGCTGTGTTCTGGCCCCGCACCGAAAGTTGCAGAAGAAAACGGATTCTGGTGTATACGGCATCCTGGTGTATACGTTTGTTGTTGTTTCCACGGGGAAACGGGGGAACAAAATACACCACACCACCCCGACGTCGTCCCCGACCATCGAGAAAGTCCTGTATATGTTCCAGTTCCCGAACATGTTCAAGGTTATGAGATCTCGGGCGTGCGGCGTTCGAGCGAGTTTCACACCCGCGCTGCACATTTCGAGGGCGGTTTGGAGCCCGCTTTGCGAGCCTGGGTGCGTTTGGGACTGGGCTTGCGCGGTGAAGGCGTTTCAGACCAGGATTGGGTTTGTCAAATTCGGACTGGTTTTGTTCGGCCATGTCTCTCTTCCTCTCCCTCCCTCCTTCACCCGTTGATGCACGGCCCTGGCCCCCAACCCTTTGGGGCCGATGGCCAGAAGGGCCAGGCGGGCAAGAACGAGTCCGAAAACGACGCCGGGTCATCGGCAATGCCGTCCTCGTGCACGAGCCGGGCTGGCGCGTTGCTGGCAAGGGCGGCACGGCGAAGGACGAACGGGTGACGAGTGCCTAGGACTGCCGGCTGATCCTGGACGGTCGCCTGGCAAGGGCGTGGTCGCGGTCGTCGTGGTACTAGCGGCCGTGTCTAGTAGTCTTGATCGTAGTCGTAGTCCCCATCGTTGCGGCAGCCGTGGTAGACAGACGTTGTGGTCGTGATAATGGTCGTGGTAGTGGTCGTGGTGATGGTGTGTAGCCCGGGAAAGGCGAAGGTGGTCGTTCCCAGTGGGTGTCGCAATCGTGGCCCCTGCAATGCCGGCGGTGGCGGTCGCCGTGCGTGTGGTCTGGGTTATATGGGCGACGCGGCCTAATATGAACACCCATCGGTGAAGCTGGTTCCCTACCTAGGCTCTGCCTAGAAGGATTCTTACTGTGTTCTCTTAAAAGGGCCCGGCAATGGGAACCGGCCTGGGCGGTTCCCCCGGCATCCGCCCCGCGGTTCCCCCAGTGACGCCCCCTTAGCTGAGCATAGCATAGCATAGCGCAGCACATCACAGCGCAGCATAGCACCGCGCAACATAGCATAGCATAGCATAGCAGAGCATAGCACAGCAGCAAAGCAAAGGCAAAGCAACAGCAGCGACAGCAAAGCAGAGCACAAGCAACGCAAATCAAAGCAAAGCAACGCCAAAGCAAAAGCAAAGCAAAGGAAAGGCAATGCAAAAGCAATGTGCGACAGATGCCGAGCTAGCCTCGATGGCCGGACCGGAGCCCCCGCAAGCAATGCCTTCCGTAACCATGTCGGCTCAAGTCCGGAGGCCCCTGGTTGGCGGAGTGAGGCGTTCAGCGGTGCTGCAGAGCCCGCCTCGCCACCAGGTGGTGATGCACACCCCACCCGGCCTGTTGTGGCAATCGATGTAGGCGACGTCGCGTCCAACCGGAACGACAATGAACGGGTTGAAGGCAGCAAGATTCACACGGCTGTCGAGGATGGCTTCTGGGCGTTCGTTGTGCTCTTTGCGGCTGAGTACGGCCTGCAAGACATGCACTTCATCAGTCGCACGACGCGGGGCACGTGGTACTCGCACCATGCCCGCCTGGGCAGGGTAGAGGCGTGGGTCGTCAGGCTGATCCGGAGCACAGGCTTGCTCGAGATGGGGATGCCTGACGCGAACATCCATTTGACGTAGCAGAAGAGCGGGGAGGATGGTGAGGGTGTTGCTTCTCAGCATTTGCAGCTGACCCACATGATCGACAACGATCTCGAGTGTTTGTGGAGCGTCTTGAACGACGGAGTTGGCAACTCGGGCCTGTCGATCAGGCGGAGCAGTGGCCGCGTCATCCAGTACACGCGCATCCGCCCTGTGGACAGCAGGCGGTGGCTTGATGAAGACGACGACTGGCTGGAGGTGCGACTCGTGGTTCCAGGTTGCCGAATCCTTCCAGCTGGAGCCACTGGACATCTGGAATGAATTGGTGAAGCTCAGGCCGCCGGTGATGCCCCACCCCACGTCGCGCGGAGGCAGGCCCCTGACAGCGGCGGACGTGATCGATCTGTGTCAAAGCGGTGGTCGCGGCGAGCCTAGCCGCAGTTGCGGCCGTCTGCGCCATTCTCGCGGCGACGATGACGACGATCATGCTGATGAGCCTCGCCGAGTTGAGGCCAGGCGCCGCAGGAGCAGCGCTGTACAGCCTGCTGACGCTAGGCAAATCCAGGCGTCCATGATTCAAAATGAAGAGCTGCAGTGGACTCACACGCGACGGCCGCCTCTGCCCGCGACCCATAGCATAGCGCAGCATAGCATAGCATAGCATAGCATAGCGCAGCTCTGCATAGCATAACATAGCATAACTTAGCATAGCACAGTGCAGCATGACATAGCATAGCTTAGCATAGCATACCATAGCATAGCGCAGCATGGCATAGCATAGCATAGCATAGCATAGCCTAGCGCAGCATGGCATGGCATGGCATGGCATGGCATAGCAACTAATGCTGCTTTCCTAGGGGCTCCAACTTCTAGGTAGGGTCGCTCTGAGGTAATTGATGTCCCCATCGAACCCAAAATCATCTCCACACTTCCGCTATCGAGGGGGGGAACACTCTCGAGGCCAATGCCCTCGCTTGGCCACGGGAGCAAAAGGATACACACTCACGTGTATATTACATGTATATAGATACATGCAAATTAATACACGTGCACATTTGTACACATATATATATATATATATATATATACATATATATGTGTGTGCATACACATATATATATATATATACATATATACACACATACATATATACACATATACATACACACATACATATATATATACACGTATACATACACCATATATATATAAGTACATCCACGGATGCGGCGTGTGAGTTTAGGAAGTCTAAGCTGAAGCTCTGCTTCAGCATGAGCTTTACCTCTGCTTGGGAGGGGGGGAAAGGGGGGGGACGTAATTAACTGACGAATTCAGTGTTCGCTCGGCACCTCCCCCCCCTGCTAGCCCCCAGGAAAGGGAGGGGGACAGGAGAGAGAGGGGGGAAGGGGGAGGGGACCGGAGAGGGAGGGGAGGACAGGAGAAAGACAGGGGGGAAAAGAGGGGGGGGGGACGACGGAGGGGGGGACAGGGGAGAGGGGGTTTTCAAGAGAGGGGGGGGGGACAGGACTATGGAGGGGGAGAGGGGGGAGGGGGGGACAAGAGAGAGGGGGGAGGGGAGAAACGAGAGAGGGGGGGGGACGCGGGTGGGGGGGAACAGGAAAGGGGGGGGGGGGGGACAAGAGAGAGTGGGGGGGGGACAGGAGAGAGGGGGGGGGGCAAGCTAGGTGCGCTCGCGCCATATCTGACATCCTAGCCCTCCCTCCCACTCTTACACATGCGTAGATCCCCTCTCTACTCGCACAGTTGGATGTCGAGCGTGGCAATGTTCCCGCAAGGGTACGCGATGCATTCTGAAGCACGGCGTGGCATGGCGTAGAAGAGCACCGCAAAGAGTAGTATCAACCTAGCAATGGATTGCATGCCGTTGCGTGGCACGGGAAATCACGCCAGCGCTGCAACGGGAGCACGAGTCGAAACAAGCGGAAGCGCGGAAATGAGGCTAACGCTGCAGCGGGAACGCGATTCGGAACGAGCGGAAGCACGGAAATGAGGCCAGCGCTGCAGCGGGAGCGCGATTCGGAACGAGCGGGGCCCGAAAAAAAGGCCGGCGCCTCAGCGAGAGCAGCATTTTGAAAAACATGCACGCGCAAACCCAACTCCGGGGAAACCTGTGTGCAAAAAAACAGTGCGCGGGGGGGGGTCAAGCACTTTCAAGCCGTCATCAAGGGAAGAGGGAGAGTAGTATTCAGATTGAATGCTTGTGAAAGGGGGAGAGGGGGGGCAGGAGAGAGGGGTGGGGGGACAGGATAGGGGGGGGGACCGGAGAGAGGGGCGGGGGGGGGGACAGGAGAGAGGAGGGGGGGGCAGGAAAGAAGGAGGGGGGGAGGAGAGATGCGGGGGGGGGACAGGAGAGAGGGGGGGGAAAGGAGACAGGGGGGGACAGGAGAGAGGGGGGGGGACAGGAGAGAGAACGGGGGGTGGGGGGGCTGGGACTATCACAGTCTCCATCACCATCACCATCGTCAACTCACCATCGTCATCATCATCCTCATCGCCATCATCATCATTCTCATCACCACCATCATCTGGAGCACCTCGGATCGGCGGCACTGGCCGGAGGCCACTACAATCTATAATTCAATAAATGCTCTGAGGGGCAGCGTTCAAGAAAAACGAGTGTTGGCCACTCTGAACAACACTCTCCGCGGTTTTATAAACGGCTGGCTTTCTTACCTTACCCTGAGGGCCTACTGTCTAGGAGTCGGCTACATATGCTGCGGGGTTACCCTCGGGCAGTCTGCAGCGCCCTGTGGTGGGTGACTTAGGGGCTGCCCTGCGCCACGAAGGCAATAAGGGGCCTCTGAGACAGTGAAGAAATCTCAGGGGAACAGCGATTTCAGCAGGCAGGCCTTTTCCAAGGAGGATGGAAACGAGGGGGGAGGGGGGGGGCGTTTTCTCAAACAAGCCAAAAAATGCAGCTGTGTCTGCGGGGTCGCACAGCGTTCTCAATATAGCGCGTGCGCGCCGGCCGAATCGCTAGAGGAGTTGCCGCCAATGTTGTCCTCGCCTCCGAACTTCGCGCTGAACTCCTCGCCCTCAACAGCAAGCGCGCGGAGAAGGAGGGCGCGCTGGTGGCGGAGCTCCGCCGCAGGAACGGGATCGCCCGGAGGGGGCCAGCGCCCCGCGGCCCCCTCGAGCGCGCGGCGCAGCAGCTGCTGGGCGAGTTCGCGGGCAAGAAGGGCTGCAAGAAGAAGTGAAGATGACGCCGGGCCAGCAGAATATCAGAGGCCGCCACTCGGAGAGCTTGTCAGACCTCGTGCGCAGACGCCTGGCCCCTCTAGAGACAGCTTTTCGACGGGCGACGGCGTCGACAACGGTAGACCCAGTCAGGCGCCGAACAAAGCACTAGACAGCAAACAAGTTTTTAAACACTCGATGAGACCTCAAACGTTATTGGCTTCGGAGAGAGTGTGCGAGCATCGAATCCAACTTATTCGATTGGCTTGGGGTTCATCCGAGACATCAGACCCCCCCCCCCCATCGGCCCGCAATGCGGTTCAAGTCTGGGCCCTGGTTGCCCTGCCCCTTCGGGGGGGCCACGCGCGACGATTGCGTTTAGTACCTTTGTTGTGCCGAGACCGAGGCTGGCGACACGCCGGGCTTGTTCTCCTTCGGCTTCGCGGGCCTGCCCTTGCAGCGCGCGACTGCTTCCTGCGCCCCATGCGCGCCCGTGTCCGTGATGTGCGCCATCCAGCACGCCAGCGCCACGTCGTTCGACCTCTGCTCGCACGCCTCCTGGTTGATTCCCTTCGCCATCGCCATGAATACGTGCACGCGCGGTGGGCCTAGCTCCTCCAAGCCCTTATCGCCGTTCATGGCCCTGGGTGCCTGGGTCGTCTCGTGGTAGGTTTGGCCTGCGACCGTCGTGGCCAGCGCCGCGCGCCGCTTTGCCGTCGATGGGCAGGGGCAGGCAGACGAATACCACGCCAGCGATGTCGCGTAATTCTCCTGCGCTTGTCAGCGCCAGCCTGGCGAGGGCGGCGGCAAGACGACCGAGAACGTTGTCGTCCTTGTCCGCATCCCTGGAGCAACGCCTCGACGGTGCGCTGCTGCTTCTTGCGACTGTCGTCTCCCCCTTCGGCCGCGCCCTGCTTGTCTTTTATTGCAAACCAGTGCCCACCGTAAGTTGCTCCATTTTCCCGCGGAGGTAGTCGGCAGGCGCACGGTTGGCCGGGTCCAGGAACTCGTCCCAGTTCTGGTCAAGCGTGGCCCCCAGATGGTCGATGAACGCCCGCCCGCGTTCAATGTCCATGCCCGTGCGCGCCTGCAACATCGCATCCGTATTACACGTTGGGGTGTTGTCCTGCTGTCTCTGCTCGCTGATGGACGGCATTCTTGGATTCACATGCGCCGGTAAGTGATATCGTCGCTGCTTGCTGGGCATCTTCTGCGCGGCTCGGCCAAGCATCGCCCACGGCCCACAGCTTGTCTCCCACTTCGCCATTGCCGCTGGGATGCAGAGGTAGTCCACCGGCGAAGGGTTATCGCAAGTTCCATACCGAGTGTCGTCCGTCTTCATTATTGTAGTTGCAACAGTGCGGTGTCCCCCAGGATTTTACGACAGCGTCGCCCAGCATAACGCTCCCTTCGCGCACCTGGTCGATGGATGGCCGCGCTGTCCCTGAACTCCGTCCCCTTGCCGTTTTCCGTGACTGTCTGCCACATGCCGTCGTTAGGGTCCAAACATATGATGGGTGAGTTTCGGCTTGGGGTCTGTTGCAACACCTCCTGCAGCCAGTATATCAGCATGCCCACGCACTTCTCATATGTCGATCAACCACCTTTGTCGGGCGTGGCGGCACGTAGAGGCCTATCAGCGTGAAGTCGAACTGTCGAAAAAAAACAGTCGCACCGCTAGGCCCCGTCCTGCGCATTGTTCAGGTGCTGCCACCACCCTACGCAAGTTTCCAGGTTTGAACCTGTTGCCGAAACTGAAGAGCACGCCTGCAGACGTGTTGCTGAAGAATGCCCGTTCCCGTCCACTCTCAACGCGCCAGCGTTCCCCAGCTTGTCGTTGCTGAATCAGGAGATCGCACCGACGCTGTGCACCGATGGAGCCAACGAAATCATTGCCCTCGCAGGCGTGCTCGAATTCGTTTCCGTCTTGCGCGCCGCCAGCGGGCTGTAGTGCAGAGGCCTCCAATAAGCCCGTCGCGTGACCGTATCTTCTGTCTCCGCTGTCTGCGCCGCCACGCCATGAGTGATCGCCGCTAGCCAGGCGGTTCTCATCGCCCGCGTGGCCACCTGCAGCTCGTGTGGAAGCCTTGGTAGGCGGGTCGGACGTGCCGCATGGGATCGCTTTGGCCGCCGGGCTGAATTTCTGAACCAGTATGGCGGCCATGTTTTTTTTTTTTATATATATATATATATATATATATATATATATATATATATACACATACATACACATACACAAAAAACACACAACAAACAACATCTATACAACTAGAACCCGTGTTTTTGCGTTTCGCGATAACGCCCGTGACCGACCCCGCCCCCCATTTCTCCACCCCTGGTCACGTCACGATTCGCGCTGACGCCGTTTGGGAATGTGCCCTGCATTCCGAGACGGCGCCGGCGCGAATCTTGACGTGACTGCCCCCCTCTCCACTCCCGCACCCCTCCGGTCATGCCCCCGTGCTTATCGCCAGGGGATGAAACAACTCCTCTCTCTCTCTCTATGTGACTCTCTCACATGTTTTCATATATGTTCTAGCATGCTTATGTCTACATTTGTTCATATTCATGCATGTGTATGTACGCATGTATACGTACATATGAATACATTTACATGCATACATACATACATCTATATCTATACATATATATACACACACGTATCTGTCGGCTCAGGCTGGGCCCGGCCAGTGGGGTGGCCATGCAAGCAGATCTCACCGCCCCGTGGGCTCATCGCAACGCAGCGCTGCCCGCGTCAGGGGGATGCGCCTCGTTCCGGCGGCCCTGGCCTTTTGCCTGCGCGCTCGCCGTCGTCTGCTTTCGGAGAGCGGGGCCGTCCAACATAGAAACAAAAACGCCATAAACATAAAATGTTGGCGCTCCGCGCGGATGTCTTGGATCCGCGCCGGGCCCCCTTCCCTTGCGCGCGGAGCGCGCCAGGGGCGACGCCGGAGGCGCCGCCGGGGGGCCCCAGCACGGATCCAAGAAATCCGCGCGGAGCGCCAAAAGTTCATGTTTATGGTGATTTGTCCTCTTCGACAAGAGGAACGTTCGCGGCCCGAGGCATCTTCGCGGAGGAGGGAGGACCAGGGGTGGGGGCCATGAAATCTGGACAGATAGCATGGCCCCGGCCATGGTATCCCCCCCAAGTCCGCACCCCCCTCTTGGATGCCCCCGCCAATTTTGGGCTCTGCCCAGCAGTGCAGGGCAATGCCAAACAATGCGCTGCATTGCATTGCTCTGCATTGCTCAGAGCTGCTTCGAGCTGCGCTGGGACGAAGGACCCCAATCGAGGTCGCGGCTGCCTCAGATTGGCCAGGCGCTGCCGGGGATGGACCCAGTCCAGTCCCAGACTCCTGCGCAGACACAGACCGGGCATGAAGCAGACGGGTCCTGAGGGAAAAGCGGGCCGTGGACCCCTGGGGGTCGCCCCCCAGGGCCAGCGTGGAGGGCCCCGGAGGTGCCCCAAGCCGGCCAGAGACCTCTGGACCCGTGTCTGGGAAGAGCTCGATGCCTGTACCGCGCAGCTTGGTCGGCTAAGGAGCTCGGTGAATGGGCGTCCCAGCTGCCCAACATGCGGGATGCTGGAGCGTCAATGCACCGAATTCCTTCGATGGATTCCCTGGCTCTTTCGCCGACCAGACGACGTGGAGTATAGACCGAACCCCCCCGAACTTCTTTCAGGACCCGATTGCTGTTTGTCTTCAGACTCAGGCAGGCTTACTCGCATGGGAATCCCCCTCTCTCCGCCGCCTGCTCAAGCAACGCTGGGCCGACGAGGCGCGCAAATTCGTGGATCTTCTGACACGGGTCAATCCGGACAGGGGTCAGTCAGGCCTTGCAGGAACCTGCAGGGTCCTGTGAGATCCTGCACCCACAAACCCAAGTCCATGCGAAAGATTCTGCGCGATCCTGCAAGATCCTGCACCCAAACCCGGGTCGATGCGACCCTGGCCCTGCAGGATCCTGCAAGATCGGGCGCTCTCGCTGAACCCCGTTTGCATTGACCCCCGTCTCAAGGCTCCCGACAGGTGAGTCCCAAATGAGTCCTGGCTTGGGTAAAGGCCAGGCCTCCCTTCGGACATCGCGACGACCCCCCCTCAATGCAAGTCAACTTTGAAGGGGCCCCAGGACACACAAATAAATACACACAAATAAAAGGATTCCCCATATTTTCCTATATATTTTGGGTTTTTGTCTTCCCCCCCACGTCCCATATTTTTGCATATTTTCCTGGGAGTCGACGATTAATTGTGTCTGTGTGTTTCTTTTCCTCCTGAAACTTGCCAGAGCCCAAAAAGAAGCCTCTGCACGGCGAACAGAGCGCGGAGCTCGCGACATGTGGGGCAGGGGAGACACGTGCACCTGTCGTGCCCTCTTTTGGGCCCCCAGGGGTCCTTTCCAGGCCCGAAGCGCGCATCTTTCTTCACACTCCCAGTTATCGCCCCCCCATCACTAGACAAGCGCGTCCAACTACTCGCAAAATTACTCCTCGCAGAAGGCCCAGATCCGCCACGGAGACATTTCGATCCACTATGTCGAGGCAAACACTTTCGGACGCTTGCGGATAGGTACTTCCGCGATTCGTGGAACGCGCTCGGTGATGATTTATCGCCCTCCGTAGATGGAGCCAGACGACAGTTCTTAGAACAGAAGAATATTCTACAAAGACAATGTTCTTAGGACATGAAGCCGTTACATCTAAACAAGACGGTCTCAGACAGATGTTCTACAAATATTTCATGCAAGCCACAAGGTGTTCATTACACTCTTTGGTGGGCCTGCAGACAGATCAGGACGCTTCGCCACTAATTGACACTACGCCACGCCAATTGGTGGCACGGGAGCTCGCCGCCGGAAGGCGCCTGCTTCTTCCCCTTGACGGCGGCCTCGCGGGCGGGCGGCGGCGACTGGCTGCCCGCGCGAGGTGCGGGAGACCAGGCGGGGACTCTCTCCGCTTGCGGCGGCGGCCCTGCGGTGATCTCGCCCCCTCGCTACGGCTCGATGACCCTCAGAACGCGCGTTATCGCCTCTGTGTGCTTGTCCACCGATGCCCTTCGATGCGACGCAGGCGGTACACTCAAGGCCGAAGCAGGCTATGGGCTGTCGGCGGAAACGAACGGGGTACACACACTTTGGGCTAACACACACACACACACTCTTTGAGAATCATCGAAAGGCGTGCCATCCTTGGTGTCCGTTCCATGGGAGTTCACGTGGCCCCCGGCGCTGTCCGATCTGGGCCTGTTTTGGGCCACAATGGGAACCCATTTGGGACCGGCTTCGCCCCTTCACAAGAGAGACGAGAAGATCGAGGAGGGGGAGCGAGGGAGAGCAGCAGGAGGAGGAGGAGGAGGAGGAAAAGGAGAAGGCTTGGGCTCCAAAGCCTGGTGACCACCGAGACACCTCAGATTGGTGTGGTCGCCAGGTGCAGCTCGCACCTCAGGCGTGCTCTCTGAGCCGCGCGCCTGGCTTCTTTTCTGTATCGAATCTTATTCTCCGCACATTTCGTTGAAGACGGCAGGTCGCCGTGAGAAGCCCGAACCTGCCTGGCACCGCAGACTTCGCCAGAGACGAGGCATAGCCAGGTTGCTCGTCCGATTTTCTGCTTCCAAGAAGATCCTGAAAGCGCACCACTCGTCCAACGTCGTCAAGAAGATGGCGACTCGCTCAGCAGGCCCGCTGCCAGGCCGCACGTGGAACTGCGCCAATTGGTTTCGAGTGATGAAAGGCCATCATTGGAAGTGCTTGTGCGGGCTCCACTTTGACAATAACTTCAATCGCGGCACAGGGCACCAGTGGCCAGTCCAGCCTGCTCGTCAGTATCCTCGCCAGCCACGCAAGCCCAGCCAGCCGCGAAGGGACAAGGCCCTCCAGCTACAGCAGCCCCAGAGGTCCAAGGCCCTCCGCACTTTCCTGGCGCGCATCGTGCCCATCACGCGCGCACAGGTGGGCAACCCCGTCCAGCAGCCGTGGGCCACCATATGGGAGGAGCCGCCGACCGACCCTGCCCAGATCAAAGACTACTCAAAGACTACAAGAGCCGCATCTACAAGAAGATGGATGCGCTAGGTC